CTTGAAATTCAAAAAGAAAGTCCCTGTTCCAAAATAATTCATTTACTTTTACAGTTTGTTCCTCTGGGCAATTTTTATAGCTAGCCTTTTCTACCAGCTAACTGCTAACCATCAAACCATTAAGCTTCTTTAACAGGCTTTGGGGTTTATCACAGAGGCCCTGAACTGCTCCAGCTTGAAACCTACAGTAGCAGGTAGAGAGTTATACATGTTCAAAGATCAGAGCAATTATTTAATGATTTTGGTAAATATTTACATTAGAAGGGGGTTAACATTACTTCAGATTTGCCCTGAACGGCTGTGTTTAAATGAGAAGTGCAGGGACATATGGAACTGATCTTAAAAGAAAAATTACAAGTACACAAAAGAATTAATTTCCCTTGCTGCTGCAGAAGCGATGGCCTTGTAAAAGTCATCGGTCTGAGGCGTGCCTTTAAGTCCTAGGTGAGACGTCATGATGGATGGCATGCGATTTGCGGTCTGCCGTTTCTGCTCCCTGGACCGTTGACTGAAATTTCCACAACCCGACTCCGCCACTTTAATAGGACAGTTCGGCTTCTGTCTCCTGCTGGGATGTACGTTCCTGTTCTTTTTATGGTTACTTTAGTCATCTCACCCGCAAGCAGCATAAATCAACAAGAGGCTGTGCTTTCCCAGCTAGACGGCGCTTGCATTAAGGGATGGCTCAGGGATTTGCTATAAACCCGGGTATATATTGATCCCAGTGCACCTGTCTTTTACCTAGCAATGGCTACCTGCATTGCCCTTGTGCACAGATAGAGCTATTCGTGTTAGGAGCACTGCGGGCTGGGCCCATACACAACTAACTATCCTACAGGATGACAGGTTTCAGTGGTAGCCGTGTTAGTCTGTATCAGCAAAAAAAAAAAAACGAGGAGTTCTTGTGGCTAAGAGGCTGTGGGGGAGCCCAGGGGCGGGGGAGTGCTTGGGGGGAGCAGAGTATCACCCTGCCCTTGGATCTCCTGGCTGGCCCCAGAGCGAGATGTTGGGGGCTCATCAGAGGGTATGGCATGGCACCGTGTGGGAGCAGCTCCCCCACTGGCAGCCGCCTGTCCTATTGCCCTTCCAGCGGCCCCCACCCTCCGCGGGGATGCGGTTAAAGTGTCTCATCAGGGCTGAGCATTGATGCCCCACTGAGATTAATTGGGGAGACCCACCAGCCATCATTCCTGCAGACTCAGGCAGGTGGCATGCTGCTGGAAGGCTGGCTTCCCGCCCATGCCAGGGCTAGAAAGAGGCTGCCTCTTCTGGCTCCTTTGGAATTTCCTTTGGCAGCATGTCGGGGACAGATTGTCATTATGCAGCTCTTTAGATTTAGGCAACGGAGAAAAGAAAAGGGGTACTTGTGGCACCTTAGAGACTAACAAATTTATTTGAGCATAAGCTTTCGTGAGCTACAGCTCACTTCATCGGATGCATTCAGTGAAAAATACAGTATATCACGAAAGCTTATGCTCAAATAAATTTGTTAGTCTCTAAGGTGCCACAAGTACTCCTTTTCTTTTTGCGAATACAGACTAACACGGCTGCTACTCTGAAACCAAGCAATGGAGAGACATCCAGATTAAAAGCTTCAAGTGTCCTAATTATCAATTCAACTTACACTTGCATAGTGGCAGCCACCCAGCAGCGGTAAATACTTATCTACAGATAACGTTTACTCAGCCAGCCACCAGCATTAACTAATCCTATACAGGTTTCAGAGTAAGAGCCGTCTTAGTCTGTATTCGCAAAAAGAAAAGGAGTACTTGTGGCACCTTAGAGACTAACCAATTTATTTAAATAAATTGGTTAGTCTCTAAGGTGCCACAAGTACTCCTTTTCTTTAATCCTATACAGATAACTCAGCCAGCCAGGAAGTCTCCCCAGGAACACACCCTTGGCTTTCCCCCAAGCCCTATCAGCTTTTGTGGCATGCCGTGAAGGTCACCAATGATGGGTTATTTTCCACCAAAGATGGAAGCACGTTCCAAAGTCCTCACCGAGGGGTGGCTTGTCAGGCCAGGCAAGTGAGGCGCAGCCTAACTGAGAATTCCCCCAAGCTACAAAGTACATTTTGCATAGTCTTGGTCACGTCATTGATAAATATCTCCAGCTTGGACAAAGGACAGACTGTGATTTGACGTAACGGTCCCAACCCACTCCCTCCCCGAGTGAAACGCAACGCCAGAAAGTTCAAAGTGAGACTCCAATCGTGGAATAGGTAATGGTGCCTCAAGAAGCGGCCTTGTTACCACAGCAATTTACCACACCTAGGAGTCACTTCATAAGGGCATTGCTATGGTAGCCATGACTGGGTGAGGCAGGAGAGCAGCAGTTAAGCCTGCCAGGCATTTACAGGGGGTAGGGATGGGCCCGGCACCCTGTGCTCCCCCGAATCCCTGTGTGTTTGCACAAAGGGGCAATATCGAAGCATCCAGGCCCTCCTGGCACGCCCTCCCACCCCTTGCACCAGTCTGGGTAACGGTGGCAGCAGCTCCAGCTTCTTCACTATAAATAAGGGTATGTTTCAGTAGCTATTACACCGTACATGGGCAGGGGTGGAAAGAGCTATAGAAAAAGGCTGAGGACTCCAGCTTAGAGCCTCTGGTGAGCGCAGCTGTGACAGCGTGCACCAAGGAGAAATGCAATCATCTTGCTGCACATGGGTATAGTAGATATGCATGTTTACAATTCCAGCCCCGCACCTGCAAAGAGCTCTGCATGGGAAACCCCTACAGCCCCCTTCCGCAATTTGCAAGGTTTCCAGAGTGCTTGTAAACAATGGTCCTGTACAGACTTACACACGTAAGTAACTTGACACACACGGGTAGCCCCATTGAAGTCAGTGTAATTCTTTATCAGATCATGGCCTTAGTTGGAAAAAATCTATCCCCCTTTATGCGTTTCCTATCTCCAGGATCTTGTCTGATAAATCCGTGGGTCTAATTTTCCTCTATAAAAATGTGCCACTGATATCAAAGCTATTGTTAGGAGAACACACTGTTTTCATGTCTGGAGGCCAGAAACAGAATCCAAGCAAAACAAATTTGATTTGCTTTCAACGTCAAAGCTCCTTCAATCGTCTTGTGTAGTTACATTTGTTTAATAGTAACCACAGTGACTGATACACGTGACGTCATTTCAGGCTTTGCCCGGGTTTTAGAAGAATCTTATTTATAATTAATCAGAGGGACCCGATCCTGCCAGCTTTACCCTGGCAAATGCCCATTACCAAAAATGGGAGTTTTGATTAAGGACTCAGGAAGTAGTTAAAAAACCAGTCACCTTTAACTCTTTACAGCGCAGCGTGTATGTAATATACACACAGAGCGCTCAATGCCTACCCTAGGTAGATTTTATGTTTTAATATGTTAAAAGATGACCTGAGCATTGATGCTTAGATATAAACTTCCCCAAAGTTTGGGGTGTGTTTAGATCCAGGATTTGGATTACTGCAGATAGGGACCAGCTGTACAGTTCTGACCCAGAGCTCTTCTGTTGTGTTGCGTGGATGTGGGTGGTTTCAAGCCACTGTATATACAATTGATATACATTGTCCCCCCATTTTAGATATGGGGACGCTCATGCGCAGAGGGATTATGTTCAATTTGCCCACGCACATGCAGTAAGTAAATGGAAGAGCTGGGCATAGAATCTAAGTGTGAAATCTTGGCCATGCTGAAGTCAATGGCAAAACTTTCACGGACTTTAGTTGGGCCAGGATTTTGCCTGAAGCCAGCTACTGGCCAAAGCTGTCTCACATAGCCACTTCCAAGTGGTGACAAGCCACACATGTTTTGAGATTCTTATGAAGTGTCGTATCAGAGCCTCTGAAGTTTGCAAAACAGGACCAGAGATCTCTTTAGAGAAGCTTACTTTCTCAGGAGGCTTTATATCCCGATTCCAACCCAGGGGTGCAAAGGCAGCTGCCAAGGGGAATGGATGTGGGAAAATACACATTCAACTGTTTCAAAAGCTTGAACACAAAGTTGTGGTTTGATTCTATAATGAAGGGCTGGAGGATTCAGGGGTGGGAAGGAGGGGCATATGGTCTTTTTTTACAGTTGTTTGGAGAGAAGGACTGAAGGCAAACACACTCGGGGATAGTGAATGCTACAAACACCTGCATGTGACCCTGCCCAGATTAAGAAATAAAACTGAAAGGGGGGGGGGGCATATTTCTTCTTCTATAGCAATGAGGAGAGGCCCTGGAAAGTTTGGCAATGATTTAAGAAGAAACTCACCTTTCAAAAGGAACCGCTAATTGAGGGGGTATCTTGGAGCTGCACGTTCAGAGAGTTTAACCCCCATTCCCGCCCCGTCCAGGGGCAGGTGGAAATCGGGACAACTGAGGCACTGAACCTAGGAAACCAGCGGGCTGATCAAACCGGTCCCTTTGCCGGCAGGGTAAAGCTGCCTATGGACTGAGCCTTCAGCGCCGGCTGGTGAGATGATTGAGAAACAGGCGCCCTCTAGTGGCGTCAGCTCCTCCCTGCGGCGCACCCAAAAAAAAAAAAAAAAGTTTGGGAAAGTTGGAAGTTGCTGTAAGTTTTTGCCTCCTCGCTGCGTGTGTGTGTGTGTCTGTGATATTGACATGCAGATCAGTACCCGCCTTCCTGTGCCTGTTCAAATAGCCGTCCCCAGCTCCATCCTCACCAGCGAGGCTCCAAGCCCCCCTCCTGGAAAGCTCCTTTTGCTCTCCCACCTCCTTTCCCCAGCGCCGAAAAACTGCTCCGGCCAGCTCAGAAGTGGCTCCTGCGGTCTGCAAACAGAGCATGGCGGAGGCTGGGGCTCCGCCGCAGAGCCGGGCGCATCCTCGGAGCAGCCTTTCCCCCTCTGACAGGCCCTGAGCAGAGAGGGGGGCTCCGGGCGCCGGCTCCTGCTCTGCACTTGTCGCCTGCGGACGGGACGGGCGAAGTTTGTCTGAATAACCAGAACCGGGGCAAGGACGGGGCCGGGGGCGGGGGGGGGGGGCGATTGAGACCCCGAAGAGCCACCAGGGAAGGCTCCGCTGGGGAGAGGCAGGATGCAACCCACCCTGGCGCTGCTCTACTTCATCTTCGGGGGGATCCTGCCAGGCGCGACATCCAGGAGGAAGCAGACGGAGCCCGGGCCATGTGAGCTGCCCCGATCGGTGAGCGGCTTCCCCTCGCCCCAGCCCGCGCCCTGCGCTCCGGCTTCACGCCCAAGCCCCAGGAACGACCAGACGACCCGCAGTGGGGGGGACTGGCCCTCTGCCTGCCATTCTCCTCCAGGTGCCGGCGGGGGGAGGGAGGGTAAGGGGTTAATTGCTGCTTTCTACCCTCCCCGCCCCAATCAGTTCCCCCTGCCAGGGCATGGAGACATTCCCATCCCAGCCCTGTTTGCCTCCCTCTCCTCTGATGGACCAGGGGGCGGCTGCGGGGCTTGGCTCAAGGGGGACAGGGGGGTTGCCCAGTTTGCCCAGGGCATGCCAGCTGCCAGGCGCTTTCTCCCCAAGGAGCCCTGCAGGGAGATGGGGCTGGACTGCGGCTGCTCCAGGGCAAAGCTATGGGGTGGGTCTGATCCCGCCAGCCCAAGGGGGTCACTTTCCCTCTGCCTGCCTGGCTGGATCCACACGTCCAGCGCTCCTGTGCAGAGAGCTCATCCGGCTGCCTCCCCACACGTACCGGGCAGTGCCTCTAGAAAGGCAGGGCTGTGTGTATGGGCTCATGGCTCGGAGCGTACCCCGCTGTGTGGGAGCATGCACGTCCTGTGGGGAGAGTTTATACATGGGTGTAGACCCACGCACATTAAATACAGTTTCTGCACATGTCTTTCCATATCTACACACTGCCTCCCCTGAGCACTGTGTGTATAGAGGGGCACATATAGCTACTGTATATATTTTTCATCGAGCTGTACCTGTGTGTGGGTCTAGCCATCACCACGTTTATCTGTGTGGTTACATGCTAATTGTGCAGGGGGGGTGTATATATAGCTATAGAAACATAGATAAGTACAGTTACTGAAAAGGGATCCACTTTTATGAATTTGCCAAGGTGCCAGTTAGATTTTAAAGCGGAAATCCAGCAAGCTGGGTTTGCTAATTGGATAAGCGTTGTTAGAGCCAACATAGGATGGACTCTAATAGCGTTAGCCTTCTTTCCACCTTCTCTGTATGTATCTATCTTCTTACTATATGTTCCATTCTATGCATCCGATGAAGTGGGCTGCAGCCCACGAAAGCTTATGCTCTAATAAATTTGTCAGTCTCTAAAGCGCCACAAGTCCTCCTATTCTTTTTGCGGATACAGACTAACAGGGCTGCTACTCTAAACCTTCTTTTATTGGATGCAGGGAGTGTTCACTTACTAATTTTAAGGCTGGATTCAACTTTCAGGGCCACTTTGAACTTGAACTGTATTTCTCAAATCAGGGCACTTGCTTATTCGTAACTAGTCAACAAGTTATTAATTCGCCCAGAACCACATTAGTTACGCAACCCACAGTTCATCACTCACATGGAGACAGAACCAATGTTTTGGGTGTGCACTGCACACACACTACAGTCAATCACAGACTAGAGTTGAGTTATACCAAGGAACAATGCACATGACAAGATTTCTTATTCACGTAGGTACATGCACAGGGACTGTATTTCATCTGGCCCTGTGTATTATAGCGGCTCAGTGTGCATATGCCTGGAGTGTGTGTTTGTGTGCCCATACATACGGAGACAGTTTATGTGTGGTTTATTTGTGTTGCGTATGGATTTATGGAGATAGACCGTTTTGGTGTATATCTCACAGACATCTCTACTGAGGCACAGTGTGCGTTGTAGGTATAGTGGGTGCAGCAGAGTTGCTGTATATAAAATTCTCTCTCTCTCTCTCTCACATGCTGTCCTGTTGTTTTGCTGGCCCTGAGCCTCGTCCCCAAAACGGGCTGGCTCTCTGACTGTCTCTCCCCCATCCCCAGCAGGGAGAGCTAAACTCCTTCTTGTGGACCATTCGCCGGGACCCCCCGGCCTACCTGTTTGGTACCATCCACGTGCCCTATACGCGGGTGTGGGACTTCATCCCTGAGAACTCCAAGGCAGCGTTCCAGGCCAGCTCCAGCGTTTACTTCGAACTGGACCTCACTGATCCCTACACCATCTCAGGCCTGGCCAGCTGCCAGCTGCTGCCCCACGGCGAGAACCTGCAGGACGTGCTGCCCCGGGAACTCTACCGCCGCCTCAAGCGGCACCTGGAGTACGTCAAGCTGATGCTGCCGCACTGGATGACCCCAGACCAGCGGGGCAAGGGGCTGTATGCCGACTACCTCTTCAACGCCATTGCTGGCAACTGGGAGCGCAAGAGGCCCGTCTGGGTGATGCTGATGGTCAACTCCCTGACTGAGACGGACATCCGCTCCCGAGGGGTGCCGGTACTAGACCTCTACCTGGCCCAGGAGGCTGAGCGGACGAAGAAGAGGACAGGAGCTGTGGAGAGGGTGGAAGAGCAGTGCCACCCACTGAATGGGCTCAACTTCTCCCAGGTAAGGGGGGCTTGGGCCCCTGGGCTTCTCTGCCCATCCCAGCGGGGCGGGGGGGGGGGGAGGAAGGGAAACTGACCAGCACCAGGGTAAGGGAGCTCAGGAAGACAAAGCATGAGCCAAAGCCCATTGAGGCTGCGATGGCCTTTAGAGCAGGCCCTCAGCAACCCAACGCAGCGCTCAAGTGGCATAACACTGATGGTGCTGTGTATCTGCAGAGGTGACTCTTTCCCTCTGTGTGTGCACGGGATAGCCACCACAACACAAATGTGCACACACATTCACTCTCGCTCTCTACTGCATGTGATATTAGGGAGCCAGAGGCACCGAGATGTGGTGTCTACAAGTTTGTAATTTGCAAGGGAATGTGTCAAACCTAGTATGTAATTTCTCCAGCAACTTGGTAAAAAGTTTTTAACACCATCCTCTCATTCCCTGCAACTCAGAAGTAAAAACGTGGACTAACTGCGTGGGGGGAGTTTTAATGCCATTTTCAGTGTGTTTAATGTTACGCAAACTGCTTGGGTGTTCTTACTTTATTATTCCATGTCTAAAGAAATGGACTTTCATATAAGCTGTTGTGTATTGAGATAAGTTGAATTTTCATTTCTTGAATTTGCAAGGGGGCGGGGGTGGGCTGTGAAGAGGAGGTAAAGCTTGGAAAGTGAAGGACAGATTAAGGAGCAAGTGTTGGTGCAGCTTGAATCCAGAATGTCTCTTTCTGTGCGTAGATTCAGCTTTCTAAACCAGATTTCAAGCCAGGATCTATTTCATTTTAGTGGACTAGCAGTAATACATTCACAGCTCTTGACGTTGTTTTGTGAAACTGTCAAATTAGACATACTGGAAATTCTGAAAATGAGCAAAAAGAGTGGGAGGGGGAAATATTCCAGAGCAGACCATAACTTACAATTACAATGCATCATTTTTTTAACCGGCTTCTGTCATTACTGTTAGTGCAACTATTTCCTGTCCTACCCTGCTGTCCTTATTTGAACAAAAAAATCCTCAGTGACCCTTTAAGTGGAGAAATTGCCACCAAGTGATGCATTTTCCAGAGATCTAATGGGGGTTTTGCTTTACAGGGGAAAATCACTTTTTTTTTTCTTTTAGCAAAAATAAATTCCTTTAATGTTCCCAGTTGTAAGCGTGTACACAGAGTATATAGAGTCCCCACAGCAAATCTCTGAGAGCGTGGGGTCTGAGAGCATGGAAAGTATAGTTTGAGTTGTTAAAAAATTCTTATTTCTAAAACTACAGACATCTGTGTTTTTTGACAAGGAATTTGCTTCTCCCTTTCCCTCAAAGAGTTAACTGCCTTTTCTTTTTTGTTGACCACATACTTCTTTAAAACCAAAGTCTAAATAATTAACCACGGTATCCTCCCAATATTGATCCAATCCTAGTTGGCTGTAGTAAGTCAAATGGTACTTAAAATAAAACACATGAAAGACCTTAGTTAAAAACCTACACTTGGAAGCCTTTTAAATGTGAATCATATTACACATTTTTGTGTGTGTGCGGGAAAGAGAATTGCAAAGAAATGTTCTTACCATAGTACTCAGGGGATGAGAAATCAACTTATTTTCCTTTTGGTCATTAGTTTTTAATGTGTACATAGAATCCCCCTTCCTTTAAAAAAAAAAAAGAAATCAGGACTATTACCTATTTAGTAAAGGAGTTGTTTTATAGACAGTAAAGGGGAATTTTGTGGAAAATTCTGATTTTTATTAACAAAATGTTAGGTTTTGATTATTATGGATTGGTGACGTTACTATGAAAACAGGTCACCGTTCAAGAGTAACTTTAAAAATATTATTTTTCTTAGCTTGACGCCACTTCTGGAAAGGTGGCTGTCAAAATAACATGAGACAAAATTAAGTAAAACAAACCAGATAGCTCTTTACTTGCTTCCTTTAAGGTGAATACATTCTGGCACTTGGCAAATTGTTTGGCGGTAGTAATTTGTAATGTTATCACTCTGTCTAGCAGTCTCACTGCTTGGGGTATTACTGTGCTAATTGAGAGGAGCGGGTTCCTATAACTAGGTTTCTCCTCTTAATTCTAAATCTTGGAACCTTCTGTAAGACACACATAATTAAACGTACTAAAAATGGAAATCAGAAATTGACCAGTTCTTATATTCCACTCTGTGTGTGTGTGGTTTGAGAACATCTCCGCTAAATTACACTCCCATATCTGCTAAGGGCATCAGCACTTCTTACCTGCTTTCAGCATTACTCTAATATTGCATATAATATATAAGAATATTTGGAAATCAAGTCTTGTGATTGTGCCTCATTTAAACATCTCTATGCTTTTGTTTTCCAGGGAAAAATCCAGCATGTTTCCCTTAGTAAGTTTTAAAAAATAGTCATTTGCTTCCTCCCTGACGACATCCCCCTACCCCCCCGCTGCCATCCCCCCATATGAAAGGCAGCTTTGTGTTACTGAAAATTTTGTTTAGGACTTTGTACACCAAATCTGTTAATCTGATACCATGAGGAGGGGAAAATCAAGAAGTGATCACCCTGTTGTACTTGGTTTTTGATTGTTTCTTAAAGAAACGGGAGGATTTTGCATTGTTAACCAGGAATATTCCATGCCCAGAGTTCTTTCAATTTGTGAATTGTTTTATCAGATGAGAAAATTAAGGTGTACAATGTAACTCACTTCTTCTTTGAGAACGTGGTCTATCATTTTCCCATTAAGAAAAGGAGGACTTGTGGCACCTTAGAGACTAAGCTTTATTTGAGCATAAGCTTTCATGAGCTACAGCTCACTTCATCGGATGCCTTGGCAATATAACATTTGTAGTCTGAGCCTCCATTCTGCATGGAACTTCTGTACAGTATTCCCTGCTGATATATGGAGACCATGTGGCTGATATATGGCAGCTTTACCATTGATTTTAATTGCTTTCTAAGTGTTCTTGAGATTGAGAGGGACCCAATCTAGTGTTTACAAGCACCCACAACTCCTAGTGACTTCAGTGAGAGTTTTGGTTACCCAAGAAATGCAGGGTCGGGCCCTGGATATTAGTAAGTACCAGCACTAGCAAACAACACAGTGCATCACTTGGTAGTGAAGGTTTCTAAATCCACGTGTGATAAGTAAAGGTGGGTCAGAACCTCATATTCCAGCATTGGGAAAGTTTGGATTCTGATTCAGAACAGATCAGAACAATATGGATCCATCTTAGTAGCTTTGATGAAGAGTGAAGTTTATGGGAAATAGCTCAAAGGTTTGGTGCCTAAATCCCTTTGAGGATCTGGGCCTGAGTTCTTAACAGACACTGCCCTGAATCTCCAAGCTCAGGTCCTGCTTCACATCCATATTTTGAACTCACCCGTGTCTTGTGGAGTTGTGTGGAATCTGCAGTGCCAGTTCAGGCCCATCTCTAGTTTTTAGGCTCCTAGTCCCAAATTAGGACGTTCTGTGGGAAGGGAGGAGGAAAGGCAGCCACATGAATGCCAATGGGAGCAGAAGTGATTTGCCCACAAATGGTCCATAAGGTGAGAGAGAGGATAATGCTTCCTGGAGCTCTAGAAGGAGCAATATCTCCCGGTGCTCTTGGGACCCCACTATCTAAAAGCCCCAATATAGTTATAACAAGGGCTTTCCAGGAAGCGAAAGTACCTGTTTGATTTTGGGTAGACGTGGGCCGACCCCACACCTGATCACACTGAAATTTGGGGAACTTCACCTCCAGATTTGGATCTGAACTTTGCAGCCGGCTCCTAACTCTGTTAGGGGACCTGGGTGAAATCAGGTGTCCATTAAAACAAATGGGACTGTTGCCATTGACTTCAACAGAGCCAGGATTTCACCCCTGTATCTGAGCACCCCTGATTCCAAAGGAAGATTTGCAAATTCGCTGTTCAGTCCTGTTTGTAGACATGGAACCCAGCATGATTGCCAAGAAGGTATTTACTCCCCTCCCTCTAATTCGTTCCTATATATTATCCACTTCACTCTCTTTCATCTCCCATCACTAGTTCTTTGTCCACACAGTTAATCCACATTCAGTTGGTGGCAAAGCCTTTCGTTACTATGCTTCCTGTTTGCAAAGTAGCCTTGCTAAACACCCAGTGTTGTCCTGATGATTTTAAACCTATCCATACATGGGAAATAACACTGATTGAACGAAGGCTGTGTTCATTATTCTCAAGATGTCTAGGTTTTCCTACTTAGTCCTGAATCTGATTATTATCTAGATTGTATCACTGTAAGATATGGTGGGATAAATTAAATGAGAGACGTAATATCAAACTGTAATTGATTGGCTCAGAGACAGCCTCGAAGAAAGGAGCTCCAGATAGTGTCAGATTAAACATCACACTTAGCTATTCTCTTCCTTTTATTTCTCTTCCGCCTTACTCTTTGCACAAATAAACATTGTTTTCCTATTTCCCACCAAGGAGAGTCAGAATGAAGTGGGAGAAATGACTTTGTTAACAAAGTCAGTCTTCATTTCCCAGGTCCTGCTGTTCCATCAAACTCTGGGACATGGCAGCTCTGATTACGCTATTGATAGGATTACAGAGAGTACAAGTGCTGTTTAATAAAAGGACTATGGGTGGTCCATCATGTTTGGCTGGTGACATCTATCTGCACTCTTTACGCTGGGCTCTGAATAGCAGAACCACATGAAATATTAATATACAGACAGGGCAATATTTTTGTACACCCGCATTCCTCCCCTGCCTTTTTAAAAATGATTAAATATTTTTGCATCTACAAGGACCATACTCTTCAGATGGTACAAATTGCTGTAGCTCTGATTTCAGTGGAGCGATGCCAGTTTACACCAACTGAGGACCTGGCCCAGTTTAAAAAAAAAACAGATGAAAGTTAAAAATTTTAGAACCGGACAAAATTTTATTGATGAAAAAGCTTTTTACTTTTTTGGGGGGGAGTAGGGTTGTTGGGAAACTGGGATTTTGACAAACTATTTTTCTCTCTCAATTTTTTTTTCAACAACAATAAAGACAAAAGCCCTA